CTTCAGATCCTTTAAACTGACTTTTTTTCTTTTGAAGGCAGTGGATGAGTTTTACTCCAAGCTAGAAGGTCAGAAGATTGATTTGAAAGCTTTGCAACAGGTACTGGCTCATTCAGAAGTGGAACATCTGGTTTAACTCCTTTAGAGCTTCAGGATGCTAGACAATTGCCTGATTGACAGGCCCTTACTCTTTACAGTTTGGTGGGTGGGTGCCGGCTTGTTCTAAAAGATGCAGGCTAGTATGGAGCAGGTTGGTGCACCAGAGCTTGTCTTGCTGGGAAATGATGATCCTTATGTTACAATGTTTTGTGGATTCCTCTTAAACTCTGTACAAACAGCATTGAATAGCTAATCAGCAAGGGAGTGCCTATCCAAAACACATTGAAGTGGCTCTCTCTACTCTTTCTATGACAGTGCTCAACAGAATCCTGTTTCCACTTCTTTTGTCTCTGTACTGTAATAGGACACGGTTGGGTGTTGAATATCTCACACTGTAGAACGGAAGGTACAATTTGTAATATGCTTTTCCTTTCTTCTGTTTGACTGTTGACAGGAAAAACAAGCCCTGAAGAAGCTGGATAATGTTCGTAAAGATCATGAGCATAGACTAGAAGCTCTTCATCAAGCCCAGGTAGAACTATGAGTTTCCATCAGACAGATTTTAGAGAGAAAACATTGTTAACATTCCATGCAGTATCATCTCCACCATAAGTTATGTTCCATAGTGTTCACGTGAGATGACAAATTAAAATATTTGGTCACTAGCAAGTTCCTTTAGCTCAGGGATTGGCAATAACACCAGGGTTAGCCCCTGGCAGGGCACTGCTGTTATATTTACCTCTGCCTCCGAAGGTATGGGTGATTGCAGCCTCTGTTGGCTGTGGATTGCCATTCCTGGCCAATGGGGGCGCGTTGGGAAGCGGCACGGACCGGGACACTGCTTCCCGCTATTCCCTTTGGCTGGGAACAGCGATCCCTGGTCAAGGGGAGCTGTAATTGCATGTACCTATGGACATGCAGGTAATTATAGCGACCAGGGCCCACCAGGGCTAACCCTGGCAGACCGGATCCAGCTTGTGGGTCAGCATTTGCCCACCCCTGCTCTGGCTTCTCTCCCTTCTTGGTGAAGTGTGAACAGTTATGATGATACACTGCTTTTTATTGATGCATTGCATACACTTGGAAGAGGTTGCCTGCTTAGATCCCATTGCAAGATCAGAACCCGATTTTGAACAATGTGGTGGTGAAGTTTAGTGCAGCTGTTTTAATTGTGTGGATTTATGTTTCTTTAATCGGCATTTTTGTACAATGTAAACTGGTTTATAGTCTGAATTGTAAGAGAGCTTTTTCTTTCCTGAAGGAAATTGATAAGGTAAAAGGAGAGCTGGTAGAAATGAATCTGGACATAGTTGACCGAGCTATCCAGGTGGTGCGCAGTGCGTTAGCCAACCAGATAGACTGGACGGAAATTGGAGCAATTGTAAAAGAAGCTCAGGCTCAGGGAGACCCTGTCGCAAGTGCAATCAAAGAATTAAAGCTCCAGACAAATCATATCACAATGCTACTGAAGTAAGTATGTTGTGGATCAACAAGGCATTAACGAAAGGGGGACTCATTCCACAATTAGCAAGTTAAGTAGGAAAAGAGCATCTCCATTTGGGTTTACGTTATTTTGTCAGTTAATAGATATCAGTAGATGAATTCATGGTGCTGGGTTATAGCAGTCTCAGAACGTGAGGGCTTTGTGAACAGAGAGGCATGGATCCAATATGCACTTTCCTGTCTTGTTTTTTCCTTCAGTTCAGTAACTGAAATAGACTCATCAAGCATATAAAAGTGGGACACATTTTAAAAGCGGTAGGAAATGTCTAAGGGAAGGGCAGTAGTGTGCAAAATCACTTTCACTTGCATGTCCCAGGCAATTCTAGGAAACCTCTCTCTCATTTGGTTTGAGGCAGCAGGCAGCACTAAGCATATTATGTAAAACGAATACATTAAAAAATCAGTGATAGAAATGTAGCCATGTTAGTCTGGTGTAGCTGAAACAAAATACAGGACTATGTAGCACTTTAAAGACTAACAAGATGGTTTATTAGATGATGAGCTTTCGTCCACGAAAGCTCATCATCTAATAAACCATCTTGTTAGTCTTTAAAGTGCTACATAGTCCTGTATTTTGTTTCATTAACAAATCAGTAACGTGGAGGATCTTGACAGTCCTGGATGCTAATCGGGAATGTAGCTGGGAGTTTAACATGCCTCAGGGCTGGCTGGACCAAGATGGCCCAATAAACAAGTTAAGAGTTCGTTCAGACTGCGGTGAGCTGATATTGAGATCATTCTGCTCCCTCCAGGAAAATCATCATGAGAAGCTTGATATTGGATCAGTGCCTTGCCCTTGAGAACATGTAAAAATGTTTTTAAAAAGGTATACAAGGGCTCTGCAGGTATTGGCAGCAAAACAGAAATATATTTCACTGTGTAAATAGCTTGGAAATCCTGTCATCTTAAAATCCAAATATAGTAGAGACCTTAGTTTGAGCTAGTATCCCCTATCAGGAAGCCTAATAATAAAAAACCAATAGTGGAAAATATCTTTAGTCAGTGAAGAAAAAGAAAACTGGACTAATAAGCAAAAAGTGCATATATGGGTTTTCAGATATATATTCCAGCTTCTGAGTAGGGATTTTAGATAATGAGTAATTAAATAGTTGAGTAACTGCATGAATTCTTATTGGTCACCCAACTATTCTGTAGTTCCCAGGGGTGGGGTTGGCAGCATGTTCACTCTGGCCACCCTTCTGTAGAGCCCCCGCCATTCCACGTTGCTGCCTCTGTGTCAGAGGCAGCAGTGTAGGGTGCCAAGTGGGAGCCAGTCTGCGAGGGGAGCCAGTTTAAAAACCAGCTCCCTGCACAGACCAGTTGACTGCCACCCCATGCTGCTGCCTCTGTATCTGAGGCAGCAGTGTGGGGTGGCAGCAGCCCCTGTCCACAGGGGGTCCAAGCTCCTTGTAGACAGAGGCTGCTGTGGGGAGGGGGGAGGCTGCTGCCACGGAGCTGGTGCTGGCAGCAAGGGAAGAGGGGGAAGTGCGTGCAGTCGACAAGGTTAACCGATAACCCTAGGCTTATCGGTTAATTGTATAGTTGACTACAAGTTGTCATCCCTACTTCTGAGTAGAATGTGGGACTGAAATGAATCTGCTTCTGCTCACTGTCACAATTTGCTTCCTGTATTATTCTGAGGAAGTTCTGTGGCTTGCCCTTTATAGGAGGTCAGACTAGATCCGTGGTCCCCAAAGTGTGGGACAGCAAAGGAACATCGGGAGAGCACAGTGGGATCTGGGCTAGTTCCTGTGGGGGGAAAGGGGACAGGGCAAGGAGAGGGCAACACCCAGCCCCGTTCTGACTCCAGCTGGGCTTTGGCTTGGCCCCGGCCCCTGGTCTCAGCTGTGGTTGCAGCCCTGCTCCCAGCTTGCAGCTCAGATCCCCTTCCTGCTCCAGTTCCTACTCTGAGCTCCTGACTAGAGTTCCCACAGCTTAGCCACAACTCTGCTCCTGACTCAGGGGAGCACGGACCCGTTCCATTACTGGTAAAGGGAGGGTGCAAGAGGAAAAAATTGGGTATCATCGGAATAGATGATCCCAATGGTTTCTTCTGGCCATGGGAATGTATCGGTCTCTCTATTTGTTTTTTACAGTGTGAATGACGGTCACACACTGAATCATACATGCCATCTGAAGATAATTGAATCTATAGAAAATAGCGGAAACAGTAGTGTACTTTGCTGTGTGACATATAGAAAACATTATGCTCTATGCTCCTCTATCTCTGTAAGGCTACAGTGCCAAACATAGCAATAGAAGGCAGGCTCGCTGTGCCCAGGAATGGCAAAAGTTACTCAAAGTAATACATCCTCAGAATAGTTTCACGATACTGAAACAGATATTTCACAAAATCTCAAGACCATTGTCTGTCTTGCATTTGCTTTGATTAAACATAATGAGCCACAATTTACTCTTCATTTTTCAAAAAGATCAAAGGTAAAATACCTTGTACTTATTTCATCTTTGTTCTGCTTTTCCTTTTCCTGTCTGAAAGTGCATTATCAAAACTGTTTTCATTATGCATTTATGTTCATTCATAACCATAGAGTTTTCTTCAGATTGAAAACAAGAATGTGTATCCTTTGTAATATTATTTACAAAGCGAATGGAAGAAGACATGAATCTTGATGACTTTTACAACAAAAAGTCTGGAGTACTTAAGACAATCAGTATACTTTTATATTTTGGTAGAAACCCATACGTATTATCAGAGGAGGAGGAGGAAGAGGAAGATGATGAAGGTGATCATTGGAAAGAAGTTGAAGAACCAAAGGGGAAAAAGAAAAAGCATAAAAATAAGCAGCTGAAGAAACCTCAGAAAAACAAGCCATTGTTGGTTGATGTTGATCTCAGTTTGTCTGCGTATGCCAATGCTAAAAAGTAAGATATAAAATATGCTTCACCAGTGTAATTGCACCTGTCTTTTCCTAAATAAATATTTAGAGTGTGTGGTCTTATCTTCATTAGTTAAGCGGTCTCTGACAATCATTTAATTTAACGTTAATTACATCAAGCATAGAGTCAGATACGGGACATAATGGCTACTTATTTTTTTTTTTGCAAAGCAAATATTAGAGACATGATTTCTAGAAACGATAATAAATTAGTTACTTCATTTCAACTGTTACAACTTTCATATGAATGGTGATAGGCAATAAGCAAAAAGCTAAGCCAAATATAACATTTTCCTTATCAAAATGGAGTATTCACTACTGGCATGAAGTACCGTGGGAAGAATTAGGCTGTACAAATGAATTAATAAGCTGGAATCTGTGATGAAAATGGATTTGTTTTTCACAGATATTATGATCATAAGAGACATGCAGCCAAAAAGACACAGAAGACAGTAGAAGCTGCAGAGAAGGTATTTGTTACCTTTCCCTGGTTTGTTTTTAATATGGTTATAACCAAAGATGTTTTATTGCTACCTAAACCAAACTTTCAAAGTACCTTTTTGTGTTAATAGTACAGTTGTGCTTATTTAAAGTTTCAATCCCACCCATCAAGCTTACCAAAACAGTGTAACCCACATGTAGGACCAACATTTCCATCAACAATTATGAACTAAAAATGGGTTTATAATGGAAATGCTGACACATCAGTACCTGTGGCTCCATTAATAGGAATCAAAATGATCAGGTAGCTGATAAGCTTCAGGGAGGTAGCCGAGTTGGTGGCACAACCCACTTCTTCAGATGAAAAGCCCACGAGAGCTCATGATACCATCTATGTGTTTTGTATAAGATTCATCTATAAGATATTGCAAGACTGTTTGTTGTTTAAGTTTTTCCAGGTAGCTGATGTAGTTTCTCTACATATAACATGATGGGGCAATGGAGATATGCCTTTTTCATGTCTCATGAAGACTTTAAGACTGCCTTTGATGAAGGGCCTCTAATTTTGCATGTGCAGGAATGGGTTTTAGGACTGCAAATTGAATTATGTGCCAAATGAGTAGCCTGTCTCAATCTGTTTTTTGGGGGAGGTGTATTTTTCTTCACACTGTTCTATTGTATGCTTATTGGTTGTATGATCACTACATTTGTGGAACTGGGAATGTCCATCTTTATCTAAATAGGCATTCAAATCTGCAGAAAAGAAGACAAAGCAAACATTGAAAGAAGTTCAAACAGTTACCACCATTCAGAAAGCAAGAAAGGTTTATTGGCAAGTAAACTTTTGATAGTTACCCTCTTAGATTAATATGTGATTCTGTGCAAATTTAAAAGGACATTGTTGACATGAAATCTAATTTTTTTAAAGCGTTAAATGTATTTTGTTTCTATACCTGTACATACATCCCCTGCCAGTTGTGACTTCAGTTATAAGCCCCAGTCCTGCCCCATTAGGGCCCCTTCAAGGGTGCTCTGCATGGACATGTAGGTTTGCTGTGTGGGGGCTTTTGTGGGATTGGGGTCATGTTTTCTTAACATTTTTAAACATTTTCTCTGCTATATAAAAGACCCAAACAAACAACTGGGGAGACTGACTGTACACAACGTAGTATCAAATGCACACAGAGTAAACCTGGAAAATAAAATAAAAATACTTTTCCCCTTTTTATAAAATGCTGTTTTAAAAGTAGCAATTTTAGTAAAAAAGAAGTGTGATTTGCTTGATGCGTCCTTTTAAAGAATATGATCGACAGTACAATTACATGTATTCAGTACCTTGAATTTATGCCATATACACGTATCTGAAACTGCAGCTGGTCAACAAAACAAAGTGTCTTTGAGAATACTTGTGTTTCTACCTATCATACATAAAGGTACTGACCCCCTGGTAAAATCATGCTTCTGTAATTAATCCAGTTATTTTACACAGAGTAATTTGATATCATTTAACAGGTTTGAGAAGTTCCTGTGGTTTATTAGCTCTGAAAATTACCTCGTTATCGCTGGAAGAGATCAGCAGCAGAATGAAATGATTGTGAAGCGATACTTGAAATCCGGTTAGTAAGATTAAATCAAGCATGTCCGCATGGCTCTTGTTTTCTTTGCTGATTGGGATAAATGCTTGTATTGTACATCTAGAGCAGAGGAACGCTGTTGGGTCTTTATTAGCTTGTGTGTAAAATCCAGCTTGCTTGTGTGCATTCTCATTTTTGTACATCGTCTTGAGAGCTCTATAATTATGTCCAGGTGTGAGAGGGAATGCAGCTTCTTCACCCAATAGTTTTGAAATTGCCTGAGCTGAGTTACAAAGCAGCAGGTTTTACCTTGTACATCGTTCCACAAGGAGGAGCATAAGGCCTAGATACAGCTAGTATTGTCCTACACAGTAGTTCTCCTTTGGGGCCCTAGACGGCGAGCAGATTGCAGGGGATTCACCAAGCAGACTAGCTTAGACTTGTTGGGGACGGTGGAAAGCTGGAGCTGCACCTCGTGGCATTGAAGCCTGGGGCCCTGAAGCTGAGCAACTTTGTTTCATGGTGCCCCCTGTGGCGTGGGCTCCCTTGCAGCTGACCTGCTTGACTCCCCTCACGCTGGTCTAGGGATATTAAATATCGGTTAATTGAGTAGTCGATGAACCTCAGGAATTCTTATCAGTTACTCAATTATTCTATAGTCCCCGGGTGTGGAGCCGGCAGCCAGTGTGCTCCAGCCCCACTTCCGAGGAGTCCCCTGCCACTCTGCATCAGAGGTAGCAGTGTGGGGTGCCAGACGGGAGCTGGTCTGCAAAGGGAGCCAGTTTAAAAACCAGCTCCTCGCACATTGGTGCTCTGATACAGAGAGTGGCAGCAGCCCTTGGCCAGGGGTGGAGGGGCGCTGAGCTCCCAGACCCAGCGCAAGCCAGAACTGAGCCGGGCTGCCTGCCTGGCATGAGCCTTGGGTATGTAAGGCGGGGGAAGGCAGCAACTGCCAGGCATGGCTCTGCCCCCAGAATGCCTGCTATAGGTGTTCTGGGGGCGGAGTGTTACTGTCCCCAGTGCCCATCCTCCCCGTGCTCTGGAGCTGAGAGGTTGGGCTGGGCCAGACCGCGCGGCGCAGCATGCCCTGCCTCTCCCCTCCTCCGGTGCTCCGGGGCTGGAGAGGCTGGGCTCAGCTGGACTGCACAGCACGGTGTGCCTTCCACTGGGGCGGGGGAGGCTGCGGCAAGCGCATGCCCACTCCCCTCCCCATGGTTGGAAGGGGGAAGCATGCGTGTGGCATGCTGCCCCGCCTCCTGAGGGCAGGGGATTTGTGGGGCCTAGAAAAAGGGGCGGTGCTGGAGGTGGGGCTAGGGGTTTGCCTCCCCCAGCCTTGCCTTCACTGACTGCCCATGCCGCCTGGCTCCTAATTCATTTTAAAATGCAGAGCCGCAGTGGGCGTAGGTCCCAGGCCCAGCACAAGCCAGGACTGAGCTGGGCTGCTGGCCAGCCTGCTAAAAAGTTGTGTGTGTGCGGGGGAGTGGGAGTAGAAATGCATGTAGCATTAACCGATCAGCTTTTGCTATCAGTTAATCAACTACACACTTACAAAAGTCACAACCAGTGTAGGGACGTATGTAGTAGAACAGTTGTTGGGGCACAGGTAGGCTCAAGCTTTAGTAGGATGTTAGGATGTGGGGCGGGAGCCCTCAGGAAGAAAAACATGGAGAACCCCTTTCCTACAGCACAATGCAAAATTCAGAGGTGCTGCATACTGAAGGGCTAAGGTGAACTAAGGTTGTCATGAGATTGATGTCAGAATAAATGACTAGTATTGGCCATAATTGACAAGTAGACAGAATTACTGTTCCTTAACTTGTGAATGTTTTGGCAGTGGTCCGCCTAGCTCAGTTTCTAATTCAGACTTGGGAGTCCTCTCTTAATGATCAGTTACATGTGCCCAGTCATGTGTCCCAATCCTATCTGTTCTGTTGTAGGAGATGTGTACGTGCACGCTGACCTACATGGTGCAACTAGCTGTGTAATCAAGAATCCTTCAGGTAATTCATCTGTAGTTGACTCTAATAGATCATCTGTTACAAACAATGTGAAATAAATTTTAAAATGTAATTGACTTTAATACAAATGTTGTACAGTCATCCCTTTGTCCACTCTTATTTTGGGAGTTTTAGTTCAAATTCATTCCACAATAATGTCCCACCTATTGATGAAGTCATTGGTAGCATAATACGTCTTTATTCAGGAAAATTGCTTTCAGGAAATGCCTCCGTAGATCCCCATGCAGATACTTTTTTACAATGTCTGATTATTTTTAATTGTATAGGTCATTTCCTTAATTTAAATTCAATGTAGTATTTAAGTTGGTGCGTGTAACTTTTTGATACAATTTTATACCCAAAAATGTGTGCTCATATAACCCAACTGTTGTGGTGTTGCCGTTACAGGTGAACCGATCCCTCCCCGTACCCTGACTGAGGCAGGCACCATGGCATTATGTTACAGCGCTGCCTGGGATGCTCGTATCATCACTAGTGCCTGGTGGGTCTATCACCACCAGGTAATGAGATCCTGCTTGCTAGTTCTGAGAGGTTAATCTCGGAGAGAATGAGAATGGGACGGCAGGTGTAAAATGTCACCAGAGATTAACATAAAGAAACACGGTTGTGTAAAATATGTGACACGTGCTCTGTGGCTCTCCCACAGTGCCCTTGAATCTGAGTCTTTGGCATAATGGGTCTAGGACCCAAGAAATGTTTTGGATTCGGCATCTTTTAAAAAAAGGTTCGCGGTCTGTGATTCAGAGCGCACCTCTCCTGTGAGCGCCTCCTGTGGGCCGGGTGTGAACCTGCACACGTTCTCAGCTCGCAGGGCCCATTGGCTGTTGCCTCAGCAGGTGGGTTTTCAGTGGCTCAGCCCTCTGGCTAGGTTGCACAAGGGGTACGGCTACACTTGAGATGGGTTCACAGACATGCAGAATGCACACAAACTGTGAAATCTGGTCTCTTCCCACCAGGAAGTCTTGTCTTTTATGTACTTTTACCTTATCTATACAGGTTCCACCAGGGAGACCAGTGTTTCTCAAATTGGGGGCCCTAACCTGAAAGAGTTGTGTGCAGATCACATTGGGGGGGTTGTAGTATTTCCATCGGTCTCTGCCTTCAGAAATCCCCAGCCAGAGAATAGCAGCTGCTGACTGAGGTCCCAGCTCTGCAGGGAAGAAGGAAGGGGGCAATACAGTACCATGCCATCCTGTGAGGTCCCAGCTCTGCAGGGAAGAAGGGAGGGGGCAATACCGTACCATGCCATCCTTATTTCTGTGCTACTGCTAGCAGCCGCTTTGTCGGCAGAGCTGGGCTCCTACCACCAGTGCAGGAGTAAGGGTAGCAGTACCGCAACCCCTCCCCCAAAGTAGCCTTTCAACCCCCTCCACGACTCTTTTTGGGTCAGAACTCCTACAGTGACGACACTGAAACTTCCAATTGAAATAGCTGGAATGGCGAATTTTACAGTTTTTAAAAACGTGTGACATGAGCTGGAATGGCGAATTTTACAGTTTTTCAAAACTTGTGACATGAACTTGACCAAACTGGACCATGAATTTGTTAGGCCCCTAATTACGACCAAAATGGACCATGAATTTGTTAGGCCCCGAATTATAGAGTTTATAGTGCTGTGCTGCTGTAAGCTCCCTAATGTAGCTGCTCTAAGCCAACAGGAGAGAGTGAGCTCTTCCATCTTAATTACTTCAGCTTCCGCGAGTGGCAGTAGCCGTATCATGGGAGGCGCTGTCCACGCCAGCGCTTACGAAGGCATAACTTGTGTATCTGCAGCCCTGCCGCTAGGCTCAGTTCTTCGAGGCTGGCTTTAAGTCTGTCCCTGCCTGTTATGAAACTCTGCCCCCAGGAAGAAAACCTTGGAGACTTTGTCATCAGCAGTTCTCTGGCATCCCAGCTCCCCAGCCAGGTTACTCCTTAACATCAGTCCCCTTCCAGGGGTAACAAAGTTGAAAGAATGCTTCACCCTCTTCAGGGTCTTTAGCCCCATCTCTGAGCCTTTTAAACTCCCAGACCCTTTCTTGGGCTTTTAATGCAGGGTCTTGTCTCTTCCTTGGGGCTTAAACTATTTCTCCTGTGACTTGGGGGAAGGGACCCGGGACTACTCCAGGTCCCAACACAGCGACTGGATAGATAACAGCCACATACTGTTTCTTCTACGTGGTTGCTGCTGCTATTCCTGGGCTGTTCCCCTCTCGGTCCCATCTCCTTCACCTGTTACCTTCGGTTATAGTCCTTGGATTCTACTTATCTTGCTCCCTGTTCCCCAGGACTCCTTGCCTGGAGAGTCTCTGTCTTATCCCTTCCAGTCCCATCCAACAACTGACTTACTTAGGTAGCCTTGCTGCTCTTTTTAAGGGAGCCTGCTAAGGTCTTCTTGTTTGCTTCCCTGAAACCTTCCTCAGCAGGCCCAGAGAACGTAACTTTACTGTGCCTTGTCTGGGGTAGGACTGCCAGGCATCCAGCTTGTCTACCCCAACATAAAGTCATATTGCTTGGGAATGACTGTTAGGAAGTTTAATCAGTTTTAGTTTTCCGTTAGAATTTTAATTCACATATTAAATGTTTGTTTTGTTGTACAACACATAGAATGTTAGACTATTCAGGCACCATGAAAATTAAGATGATGCGGATCTGTTTTGTAGATTGTCACTTGATCCAATTTCACCAAGCCTGCCCTGGCTTGCCCTTTCCAATATGTTCTTATTTCGTGGCACTGTATTGTAACTGAGGCTAGACATTTGTAGGGTCTCTACTTGGGTATCTGTGTGGGGTTATGATTTCTGTCTTGGGCACTAACAGAGAGAGGCTGGTTCCCAAAAAGTTGTTGGAATCTCTACTGGCTCCCCTACAGGGAAAACCCATTTCTTTCAGCTGGGATTTGAACCTTTAATCTCATGACTGAATAAGGACTTTCCCTCTGGTTAAGATGGCTGGCCTCAAAGAAACCTGCTGCAAGCAGAGCACAAGTGTTATAGTGGAGCAGGGAGTCTTCCAATGCAGAGCCTAGTTAAGTCAGCACTGGGAAGAAACTGAGGTTCACTGATTTTTTTTTTTTTTAAGGCCAGAGGGAACAGCTCCAGTCTGATCCCCCGTATAACGCAGGCTACAAGATGTTATCCAGTTCAACTTCAAGCCCAGTAACTTATGGTTGAACTAGAACATCTTTTAGAAATAACGAGTAGTCTTGTGGCATCTTAGAACTAACAAAAATATATAGAATCATGAGCTTTTGTGGGCAAAACCCACTTCCTCAGATGAGCTAGAGTAGAATGAAAGGAAACCAAAATAATATATAACAGGAAAAAAAGTACCTGTCAATTGTAGGTCTGATGCTAATGAGGCTAATTAAATGGGCTGGAAGTGTCCCATTCTTAGCTTTTGATGTAAAATGCAGATGTTAAAGGCAGGGGAGACTGGCTTTATATAATGTGATATCCACTTAATGTGATAAAGCCAGTCTCCCCGGCCTTTAACATCTGCATGTTTACACCAAAAGCTAAGAATGGGACACTTCCAGCCCATTTAATTAGCTTCATTAGCACCAGTCCTATGATTGACAGGATTTTTTCTTGTTACATATTATTTTGGTTTCTGTTGTTTCAACTCCAGCTCATCTGATGAAGTGGGTTTTGCCCGTGAAAGCTCATGATACTATATATTTTTGTTAGTCTCTAAGGTGCCAGAGAACAGCTCATTGTTTCAAGTTACAGACTAGCACGGCTACCTCTCTGAGATCTTTTAGAAAGACATCTAGTGGTGATTCAAAGTCTTCAGGTGATGGAAGGTTGTTCCTCAACAAGTCCTCCCTATACAATTTTTCACTTTTGTGAAGTTACAAAGCTGTCCTTAGACATCAGAAATGCCATTAGCTTAAAAGCTGATTTGTATTACTGCTCTACCCAGTGAGGCACAGTTTTCTATGGTACTTTGTTAAATATGTGATATTTGATACTCTTTTAGGTGTCTAAAACAGCACCGACTGGAGAATATCTGACTACAGGAAGCTTCATGATAAGAGGTGAGACCTTAGAGACCCATCAATTTGTAAATCACAATTGTCTGAAAACTCTGTACCTACTACAGTGACAAGAGTCACTGCAAACAGCTGGCAAAAATGTTTATATATTTAAACCACCTTATGTTTTCCTTTTCCCCCCCCAGGGAAAAAAAACTTTCTTCCACCTTCATATCTTATGATGGGGTTTAGCTTCTTATTTAAGGTACTGTCCCATTCGTTGGTTACATTTGTCTCCTTTTTTCTTACATAAACATAAAACTGCAATCTTTCACAACAACCCTCCGTTCCCGTTAGCATGTTTCCTTTCCAGTAGATCAGTGCCCTCTGTTTGCTCTGAAGGAGGAGAAACCTTTTAATCTAGTTTAATCTAGGGTGGGCATGCAACTCAAACAGCAAACTGAAGAAACAAACTGGGATACAATGGGCCAAGCTTTTCAAAGAAGCTGCCATCTTTAAATATTTCCCCTGCCCTCTCCTCCTCTTCCCCCGCCCCCTGCCAGAGAGGGGTTCCTGGTTTGAACCTTTTAAAATTATTTACAACAAACTAACCCTGTGAGCACAGCGCCTCCAGATATTTTTTTCAATAACAATTGCTTAAAGTTTTAGCAGGAGTTTGTGAAGCTCCCGCTTTGGTGTGCAGGCTGCAGAGCTCCCACTAGCCATCATCTTCTAGAGACATGCTTTCAAAATTAGCTTTTGAGAATTGACACTTCTCCCCCCTTTCCTCTCCACTGGTAAAGAAGCTAAAAAACGGAGGAGATTTAATAAAGAAAAGAAGACTTAAGTAGGCAAGTCAGTTATTGCATGTAAAGGGTTGTAAAGGTCTGATATTAATCACCAAGGAAGTCAGTTTCAGCAAATGTGTACATGAGATCAAGGGACATGAAGAGGAATGAGGATTGAGATTGGCCTGCGGGGAAAAAAACAGGAAATCAATGTCAAGACAAAGGATGCTAAGGGCTTATCTTCACTGCTTCGATGCTGTGGCGATTGATCTTCCCGCATTCAATTTAGCAGGTCTAGAAAAGACCCGCTAAATCGAATGCTGAGGGTGCCCCCGTCGCCCACAGTACTCCTTGCAGTTGTGAGGAATAAGGGAAATCGATGGGAGCATTTCTCCGGTCGACCTCCTGTTGTGGGGCTGCCCCAGAAAATCGATGTAAGGTACGTTGACTCCAGCTACGCAATTGTCATAACTGGAATTGTGTATTTTACATCGATTTTCTCCGCCAGTGTAGACCTGGCCTAAGAGCTTGCATTAATACAGTAGCTTTCAATCTCTTGGCCTGATCCAGTTCTCATTGAAATCAATGAGATGCTTTCAGTTGACTATGACAGTAGCTGACTGGAGCCCATGATGAATGTTGTTGGGCTCCTAAGAATCAGCAGACGGATTTGAAGTTCCAGGTGTTGATTCGCTGTAGTTTCTCGTTGGGTTCAGTATAAGTCAGTTTCCTTTGAAACCCTTTTGCTCAATAAAAAGGAGCCGCTTCTCTCATTTAGGTGGAAGAATCTTGTGTGTGGAGACACCGAGACGAGCGAAAGGTCAAAATGCAGGAAGAAGACATGGAGTCTGTGACCAGCAGTACCAATGAACTGGTGTCAGAAGAAGTGGAGCTACTAGGTATTATGCAGCATCTAATACATGTTTCTGCGGGCCCACTGGGAACTCTTACGAATACTGTGATGTGCATTCAGCTCCCTGCACACAGTAATAATTCAGTCTAGTGTCTTTTACATTGAAAAGTCTTTTCCCCTCACTCATTTATAAGAAGCCCCGGAAGGAGAGGATAGCAGCACCGATGACGAGAAGACACTGCCTGAAGAGATGGCAGATGGCGCTGAAATCAGGCCTGACGCTTACCTCGAGGAGGACGCTGCTCACCTAGCCAAAGACGGAATAAACAAGCCGCCAGCAGAAGAGGAAAGCTCTGAGGATGACGATGTGGAATCTGAAGAAGAGGCTGAAGATCAGGAGCTGACGAGTGACATGAAGGAGGAGGAGATAAATTATCCAGACACTGCAATCGACCTGTCACATCTTCAGCCACACAGGTAACCAAAAGAACCGCTGCATCTTCCAGCCGCAGGGCCCGCTCTAAGAATGTTGGTGTCTTAGCGATGTTGGTGATGAGGGATTGCAATGAGCACTGAGTGTTCAAAGGTGCAGGCTGCCCGAATAACGAGTAAAACGGCTGGATCCCTGGTCGGCAGTGCGGCCCCACCTCTCCTGGATGGGCTCAACACAGTTATGCAGGTCTTCATTTGGGGTTACCCTAGCCCCCCTCCTCCTGACTCTAGCAGCCACTTCAGCCTCTGGCCGGGCCGTGTGTGGCATTGTGACCATAGCCAATGCTGTTACAGAGTAATAGAAACGTCAGTCCAGCCCCTTCCCTGAGGCCCAAGTAAACCTTGACCATTCTGGCAGGCACTTGCCCAGCTGGTTCTTAAAAATCTCAACGATGGGGATTCCCTGAGCTCCCTTGGGAGCCTGTCCCAGAGCTTAACCACCCTTAGAAAGTTGTTCTGACTATTGAATCTACATCTCCCTTGCTGCAGATCCTGTTACTGTCTCTCCTGCCTTCAGTGAACACGGAGAGCAACTGGCCACAGCCCTTAACATACGTGGAGAAGCATCAGGCCCCTCCTCGGGCATCTTTTCTCCAGACTAAACCTGCCCAGTTTTTTTAACTCGTAGGTCACGTTTCCTAAACCTTTTACTGCTTTGGTTGCTCTCTAGAGCCTCTCCAGTTTGTTCACATCTCCCCTCCAGTGCGGTGTCCAGAACTGGACGTGAAGTGGGACAGTCATCGCCTGTGGTTCAGGTGTAACGCTGCTCTTAATTCTGTGCTGCACTTACCTTGCTTGGATTTCAGCTTATTGAATTCAGCCCCGGTCTTCAATTTGCTGAGGTCATTTTGAATTCCGGGCTTGTTCTCCAAAGTGCTTGCAACGCCTCCCATCTGCAGTGCCATGAGCGTTCTCGCCAGGGGTGTTAGTTGTCGTTTAAAATATGTAACTGGTTAAATGTTAGCCTGAACCACTTCGCCTTGGGGCAGCCCCCGCCTGCGGTGGGGCTGGCCTGGCTGGGCTGGAGTGCCCCTGCCCATGGCGCAGCATGATGGGCCTGGCCAGGCTGGGCCACTGGTTAACCAGTTACCCAGAAGCGTCACCCGATAAGAGGGATTCTTAGCAGGTAACTGGTTAACCACTCAACACTTTACATCCCTAATACTCCCTCTTCGTTACTCAGGTTGTTAACGAAGATAGTGAATGGGATCGCCCCCAGGACTGACCCCGTCAGGACCTCACTAGATACACCCTCCCATTCTGACAGTGACCCCTTGGTCATCGCTCTCAGAGTGTGTCTTTCAACCAGTCCTGCCCCCCTTACACTAACTCAGATAGCCCACCGGTCCCTAGGGTGCGTCTGAGAGCGCCGCACAGGACACTCGCAAACATCCAGGAGTGTTGGCTGCGAGGGGCGTGTCGAGCACACAGAAATGTACAGATTTTCCTTTTCGGGGCTGCCTGCCGCCTTCTGCTCGGTGTTGTCCCCCGGCCTAGGGAACGGGAAACCTCAGGCCGTTCTGTTCTTGTTCGATGGGAGTGACTGAAAATGTCTCCTGAGAGGAGCTGGTGATCGCCCGTTAGTGGCAGTGGCTAATCTTTCTGCCGCCCACCCTGCTGTCCTCAGACAGGCACTGCTTAGCAGCGCCAGGCAAGACATGAATGGGCATGAGTCAGCTGCTCCTGCCCTTGACCAGTGGTCACCAACCAGCCGATCGCGATCACCTGGTAAGACCTGAAGCCTCTGCCAGGTGATTGGGGCCCTTGGACTGTCTCTGCCTGCCTGGCCCCACGCTGCCTCCAGCTGGCTGAGTGCAGGTGTCTCTGCAGCCCCAGGGAAGCATGGGGGTGAGGAAGCTCTGTGCTGCCCACACTCCTAGCATTGTCCAGGTAGCTCTCATTGGTCAGGATCCGGCCAATGGGGTGTCACTTGTGGGCATGGGCAGCAGTGCAGCAAGGAAGACCCTCCCTCCACCCCCAGACCGTACTCAGAGACATGCTTGTGCTCAGCCAGCCAGCCGTTTCTAGGAGTGGCATGGGGCCAGACAGGCAGAGACAGATTTGCCTGAGCTCCGCTGCACTGCCAGTCGGGAGCCGGCCACAGCCTGCACCCTGACACCTTGTACCAGCCTGAGCCTGCACCCAGTCATGTCCACCGCCTGCACCCCCCTGCACCCAGCACCCTGTTCCATCCTGGAGCCCTCTCCTGCACCCTGACTGTTGGGGTGCAGGAGTGAGCAGTGCAAACACTGGGAGGGAGTTTGGCTGCAGGAGAGGGCTCTAGGCTGGGGCAAACTGCCTCCCAGAGATTGCACCTCAATCCCCTGCTCCTGCCACGTGGAAGTTCGGAAGCAAGTAGTGGAATGGGTGGGGCTTTGGGGGAGGGGAGAGGCCTCATGTAAGGGGTAGGGTAGAGGCTGAGCTGCCCTTAAATTCAAAAAGTGATCCTGGGAGTAAAAAGAGTAGAGAAGACTAATCTAGACTTCATTAGTCTGCAGAAGAGAAGAGTGAGGGGGGATTTGAGAGCAGCCTGCAACTTCCTGAAGGGAGGTTCCAAGGAGGATGGAGAGAGGCTGTTCTCAGTAGTGACAGATGGCAGAACAAGGAGCAATGGTCTCAAGTTGCAGTGGGGGAGGTCTAGGTTGGATATTAGGAAAAACGATTTCCCTAGGAGGGTGGGGAAGCACTGGGATGGGTTCTCTAGGGCAGGGGTGGAATCTCCATCCCTGGAGGTGTTTAAGTCCCACCTTAGCAAAGCTCTGCCTGGGATGATTGAGTTGGGTTGGTCCTGCCTTGGGCTGGGGGCTGGACTCGACTCCTGAGGTCTCTTCCAGCCCTAGGACTCTATGGCTCTAGACATAGGGGCACTTAGAGGAGAGGGGGGAAGGCTGCTGCACATCTTCGTCAGACATCAGCTTCCAGCTTCCAGTGTATTCAGTCTGGATCGAATAGGCACCACAGCTGTAAAAGGAATGTTTCGTGTGCGGAGGGTGTTTATGTCTGTGCGTGCTACGGGCTTGCCCGGGGAAGGTCACTGAGAGCTTGATTCACATTCTCTGGCACTTCCGTCATTGTTCGAAGCTGAGGCTTTCAGTCGCCCTCAGTCTCGTTAGGCCCTTGGAAACACAAACGGAAGAGATCTGGAGTCAATGCTGGATGAGATGTCTGGTTACTAACCCAAGGGACTTGGTTACCCACAGTAGAGGGTGCAGTGTGCGGAAGCTGCACAGCTGCAGCATGGTCTGAGACCTAGTTGGAAAAGGAAGTGATCTTTCCTACACGTGCTGCCAGTTAGACCACTCTGAATGAGTTTGTCCAGTGGTGGCCGCTACTGCTACGGCCGGACTGGGTGGTCA